TTTTCGGATGATAAAAACTGACCGAATGTTCTTTTTATCCGGGCGGTTTCGGCCATTTTCAAGGATTATATTTTAACTGTTAAAATAAGAAATACATCTTCTAAAGGTAGAATGGCGAAAAGATTATATTCCGCGTAATAGAAACAAGAACATTCCAACAAAACTCAAAATTGCTGCTACAGAATTAAAAAAAAACAACTCTAATATAATCATCAGAAAAGCTGATAAATCCAATATTTTCGTAATTTTGGATAAATTGGATTGTCACAAAAAACTTCATCATCTTATTGATGATCGTTTTAAATTTACTAAATTGAATACGAACACCACTGAATCTCTAAAGAAATATGTTAATAAACATATAACATCCAACAATGCCGTTGCAGGATCCTTAAAAATAAACGTTCGGTTAGCAAGGTCGAACGCGCCTCTGTGGCCAAACCGGTAAAGGCACGTCAAGCTAAATGACGTTTCCGTATAGGATACAGGTTCGAATCCTGTCGGAGGACGAATATTTTCTGTGAAAATTTCTCGGACATTCAGACCGGTAAATGTTGTTTAATACTGTTTATTATAAATAGAGCATTTACTTAAATATTTGTATCTATAAAAAGAATGTATAAGCATAAAAATGTCTTAAAATATGTATGTAAATTTATATATATATATGTGTGTGTATATATATATATATATATAATTATTTATATATTATATGCCCGGTACTTATTAGAAAGCGCTCAATATCAGAGATAGAGCCAATATATTTGGTTGGAATGATGTGAGTCTGTGATCCTGGGTTTCACGCTTTAGCGATCGTCAGACAAACTGATTATTTTTTTTTTTAAATTTGAGTTTATTTAGATTGCGTATATTGGTGTTATTATGGGAGTGGGGGTAATTGTCGTCGTGATGTCATCGTGCTAACGCAAACATAGATGCATGTCCGTACACCCGGTGATGTACGCAGACACACATACACACTCGCTCGTCCGCCGGGACTCATACAGATATAAACATATGTGGACCGTTTGGGATTTGACATATGTATGCATATGGGTGGTGGTGTGTCTATACATACGCATCCGAATGTCGAAATTCAAAGATCGGAAGTGTCGCGAAAATTTCTCGTGAATGTCTCGTGAATGTATGCATGTCAACAATCAGAGCATTTTTCTATTTTTTCACTGAATAATATTTCCTCGCATGTATGTATATAGGTGTGGTGGGGTCTGTGTAAAATTATGATACGTAAAAATTATTATTTTTTTTATCTTTAATTTTTAAAAATAGGGTTTATTTGTTATTATTTTAAAGCTGGTTATTTGCTTGTTTTTGATGACTGTGAATATGTAACTGGTAGAGATTTCGGTTTCTTATCCTTATTGGTCATTTTTTTATGGTGGTATTTAATATGCTGGGGGAGGGGGTAGTTGACGCTAATAATTATAGCGGATCTATATGATAACAGTAGATGTGATGTGATAGTATGTGTAAGGGGGTTGGTGACAATGATAACATAAGTAGCTAATAGTTATTGTAAATTGTTAGTAGTGATTAGTAATGGTGGTGGGAGAATAATAAAAAAAACAATAAATGTAATTATTGTGGTTGTAGCTTGAACTAAAAAGTGATTGTTAGTGTTTTATTTTGTCAGTTTGTCTGACGACCGCGGAGGCGTGGAACCCAGTACTCACATCAACACAACCAAATATATATATATATATATATATATATATATGTGTGTGTGTGTGTGTGTGTGTGTGTGTATATATATATATATTTATATATACATACATATATATGTAAGCAAATATATGGATATAAATCCGACAGTATGAAAGAACTGTTTTTTAGAACTGTTCCATCGTTTTTAAAATCACTTTTGGATTTGCCTTGTAACGGGAAGGACTTCAAGCTTGTTGAAGATATAAGAACCAATTGATCACTACGTATTCCGACATCAACGGAAGAGATTTCTTGAACTGTTTATAAAAATTTTTCAATCGACTTTTTAATATTTTAATTTTGGAAATTATCTTCGAATACGTTTTAACAACATCGCCCACGTGACGACTACGTGATCATATTTAAACAGAACGCTGATCTGTATAAAATTTCAGTTATCTGTGTGAATTATTTGGGCTCTTATGTCCATCGTCTTTTGCGTTAAATTTTTATAAGTTATAATGTTAATTATGTTTAAATGAAAATGTCCATGATGATGGTCTTAAATAGACCGAAACGTCCGACGTCGACATTATTTTAACATTAATACTACATAAATGCATATTCAGATTTTTGTTTTTTCTGTATTTTTCTTTCATACATATATATATATACATATATATGCATGTATATTTATATATATGTGTGTGTGCGTGTGAAGTAGTAATTGAAAGAATGAGTAAAATATCTCAATATATATATATATATATATATATATATATATATATATATATATAGTGAATGAAAGACTCTGTGAAATCTTTTCAATAAGTGTAACAACATGATGGGACGTAATTTTACGAGCGATACCCGTGGAAATTTCTGTTATTTTCCAAACATTTTGTAAAGGTTGGGAAAATTGTGTAATATGACAATAATAAATGTATCCATTATTGTTGATGCTTTTGGATTGGTCTACAAGAAGAAGGGTTTTCTATGAATCATGACAATAAGAATAGAAGAAATGAATTCTATAAAATTATTATTGAAATCCTCAATAATACAGAGAAGAATGGCTGCCACTCAATCATCCCTCTCAACGACGCTATGATTCCTGGTTTGAGCCACCGAATGCATGAATAATCCCGAAGAATTTTATCAAAATATTTGGAGAATTGGAAATCGTATGATGAATGGAAACCAGCGATAACGTTATTGATATCGGTAAGAATAGTCGGTACAACCATGTATCATTGAAAACACGTGTTACGTGATCTCAAGCTGAAAGCATCAGATCGTGCTCAGGTGAATATTCATTAAATATTTATCTCCCTTTGTTTGTTATACTGACGTCTATGTAGTGGAAATATGCGCTATTCCCATGTTAGGGCACGGGAAGTTATATAACATTAGACAGTAACTGTTTCTTTGAAATGAAAGACTGAAGATGTTAAAAAAAATATACCGACTGAAATGCGATGAGTAAAATCCAAAAGGAAAAAAATCTTTTAATTTACATTATTCGGACTATTGTCCTCATCTTTGTCCCCATATTTATCAAAACGTTTCGGCCGTTGTACGCTCCGGCCTTCTTCAGGTGGTTGGAATTTCGAATTGAACCCTTGACTGTTCTAGTTCCACGTGCCATGTTTGATCAGTTATCATTTATCTCCTGCTAATTTCCCTCTGAAAGTTCTCCACTGGATCTAACCAACACCTTTATCCACTGTGCCATGTGTCCTTGAGGACATCTGGGTATGAATTTTTGGGTAAAATCTTTTAATGTTTTCCATTCGTTACCGCGTAGATTCCATTAATATAATCCTGCTAAAATATTTAATAAAATAATTTTTATTTTAATAAATAAATATAATATGTTTAATTATGATGGGATATCTACAAACACTCGTTGCCACTTTTGTAATGTCAACGAATACTCTTTGACAGTTTCGTAATGCTAGTTGTAGTAGAGACTTTGTAATCGCAGATAAAACCTATGGGTAACGCCGTTGAACTATACTAGTATCAGACGCTTTCGAATATCACTCGCACTAATAGTTCTTCCTCGATAATACTCGTTCAAATAATAACCACCGAATAGTAATCCGTCTAGTGATAAGAATGGAGAAATAGTGATCTGTATAGTAATAGAGGATAGAATAGAAATTGTGATCCGTATATTAACAGAGGATGGAATCGCCTGTGTTTGCTTACTGGTGATCTATGTTCATACTCAAATGTCAGCAGCGACATTTATTCCTATATTACAAATTAATTTGCAAGAAGATATACAGCGTGCTCCTAAAGTCTGGGCACATAGGCAAAATGAATATTTGCAACATCATTTTATTGAATAGAAATATTAACAGATGATTCAATATGATTTCAACCATTTGTGATGCAAATGTTGATGGGCTTTACAAGATTCATGTAAACTCGATGGGATTTGCATGATTCACGTGAACTCGATGGGCTTTGGAAGATTCACGTGAACTCGATGGGATTTGCAAGATTCACGTGAACTCAATGGGCTTTGCAAGATTCACGTGAACTCGATGGGCTTTGCAAGATTCACGTGAACTCGATGGGCTTTGCAAGATTCACGTGAACTCGATGGGATTTGCAAGATTCACGTGAACTCGATGGGATTTGCAAGATTCACGTGAACTCGATGGGATTTGCAAGATTCACGTAAACTCGATGGGATTTGCAAGATTCGTGTGAACTCGATGGGATTTGCACGATTCACGTGAACTCGATGGGATTTGCAAGATTCACGTGAACTTGATGGGCTTTACAAGATTCACGTAAACTCGATGGGATTTGCAAGATTCACGTGAACTCGATGGGATTTGCAAGATTCGCGTGAACTCGATGGGATTTGCAAGATTCGCGTGAACTCGATGGGCTTTGCAAGATTCACGTGAACTCGATGGGATTTGCAAGATTCACGTGAACTCGATGGGATTGGCAAGTTTCACGTGAACTCCACATTAACTTTTATATGCGTTTAATAAACTGTGTCGTATCTGTGATTTTCATTTACTACAACTTCTTTAGCATGCACCAGAAAAAGAATTCATTATTTTTTCTTTCGATAAAATCATGTTAAATCTATGGAGGTAAAAATCATACTTAATGAGATTTCCTGTGTACAGAATTTAGGGATAAACGGTATATTGTTAAGTATTACATATTAATGACACTGAATGCTGAAAAATCTCCTTACAGATGAAGAAGGACGTGAATCAACAGAAGTGTGCTTCTACAGAAGAACTCTGAGAATAGCATGCACCGGACGTGCAAGCAACGAATAATTTTTATGGAAAATGCAAACAAAGGACACATTTACGTAATATCCGAAACAGACTGTTGAAATTTCTAGTGTACATAATGATGAAAGATGGCTTGGAAAAAGTGACACTCATAGGGGATAATGAACGCGAGAGGAAAGCAGTGCATGACCTAGCTAATGAGAAATGATGGTCAGAATAACAATTAGTAGAGAGAGAGCATAAAAACAAGCCTTGCTAAGAGCTAGAGAGGAAGAAAATTTGAGGAAAGTCATGTTGTCCATGTCCTGAAGAGATTTGAGGACAGCCATGTTATACATATCCTGAAGGGATTTGACGAGTGTCATGTTTTCCATGTCCAGAAAGGATTTGATGAGAGCCATATTGTCCATGTCCCGAAGGGATTTGAGGAGAGCCATGTTGACCATGTTCTGAACGGATTTGCGGAGAGCCAAGTTATCGATATCCTGAACGGAGTTGCGGAGAGACATGTTGTCATATCCTGAAAGGATTTAACGAGAGCCATGTTGTCCATGTCCAGAAGAGATTTTACTAGAGCCATGTTGTCCATGACATGAAGAGATATTACAAGAGCCATGTTGTCCATGTCATGAAGAGATTTTCGGAGAGCCATCTTGTCCATGTCCAGAAGAAATACGTCGCATAAAAGAATTATATTTTCATTATTATTCCATAGTCTTTGTAAGATCTTGCCTGGTTTCCAAAGGGACAGTAAGGACAATGATATTTAGAATCAAAAAGCGACAGTTGAAAATTCTAGGGCACAAAATGAAGAAAGAAACTTGGCAAATGTGATACTCACAGGATACACGGAAGGCAAAATGAGCCGAGTAAAACAATACTAAACCTACATAGAGAGCCTGAATAAACTGAGAGCAGAACAAGATTTAGAAGCGATAACAAAAGACTAAAATTATTAAGAGACAGAAAAGACAGGTAAGACATTAATAAGAATTTACATATAATGAGTGTTCCAATAACTTGGACTGATTTTAAATGTGAATTCAGTTTAAGCGTCTAATGTTTTTTTTTTCTTTTTCTTTCAGATTTAACAACTTAAGTCTTTGGCAATTTCAACCATGGAAAGATTAACAATCAAACAATGTGGTAAAGTGTCAAGAGTGCAACTGGGAAAATTGTTCGTAAATTCAAAATGGGTCGGTGGCAGATGTGAAAACACCATTGCGTGTACGTTTACGCCGTTCAGCAGAAAACGTTGCTGCAATGCGCGAGAATGCGGCTGAAAATCCAGACATCACTATTCGTCATCGCGCGCAGGATGTGAACCTCTCCATAACAACGTTACATCTTTTCCAACTGCACTCTCGGTTGGTCGATTATGTTAACCCAAAATAATCACAGAGAACGCCATATGCATTTCTGTTAGAACGTCCATTTTCGTAAGAGGCTTCGATAACTTTAACATGCTATTTAATTGCTAATCTTTCCATGATTAAAATTGCCAAAGACTTAAGTTGTTGGATCTGAAAGTAAAAAAAAAAAATCATTAGACGCTTAAAATTAATTCACATTGAAAATCGGTCCAACTTATTGGAACAACCTTTATACTGCTACATCCAAAGCCAAGATAAGTGAGAACAAAAATATTAAAAATCTAAAAAAAAAAAATACTTTTAAATTCAAAATATTTAACACACAAATTAATACGAAACTAAAATAATCTAAATGTTAATTTGCACAAAACATCACTTATAACTTTTGTTTATTAGACATTTAATTGTGTCAATTCGTGTCCTCCATAGCTTGGCTAACATTTCAGCATGCTTGATGATTATTTATGAACGTTCCTTAACTCAAGAATTTTGAAAAACTTATAACATTTTTGCTCTTCTATATATATACTTATTGCATATTGCAAAACAAATTGCTTGTATTTAGCTTGATAAAGTCCCTCAGAGGACGAAACGCCTATGCTAAGTTTTCGTTTTGTATCTATTCATATATATATATATATATATATATATATATATATATATATAAAGAAAGAACAGTAAGATATATAATCCGGTGTTCTTATAGATATTTTTATTTTTACAAAATAGTGCTCAATGTAAATTTAGAGAGCATTAATATTATAAATTGATTTATTTAAAATATGTTTTTTTCGCTACACAGTTCTAACAATGTTTCAAAAATGGAAGTTAAAAGCCACGAATATTTGCCGTATTCCCTCATTTCATCCATTTAGTCCTCTAAGATATACCCAGAAAATAAACTTGGACTGGGTCGAAACTGGTTGTTTTAGTTTTTAGTTACAATGCCATCAAAAACTTACTTATTCCTTGCTGATATATATATATATATATATATATATATATATATATATATATATATATATATATATATATATAAAGCAATTTACCCCAAGCAAGGCGGGAGTGCCAACAACAAGCAAGGCGTTACAGAGGTTTGAGAACAAGTGTAAAGAGGCGTGATTCAGGAAAGGATACAGAGAAGAGTGTAGAACAAGATCAAGGTACCAGATATCGAGGGACATTACACTTGGATATTTGAAGATTATAGTTATCGGGAAAGTAAGGAATGGGAATAGTGTTCCATAGACGGGAAGTGCGAGAGAAAATGCTGTTTGAGAAGAAGAGAGGGCTACGTTTAACCGTTTGGACAGGTAATGGGTGAGACTGAAATGTCAGTCTAGTAGCTCGTTTTAAATTCAAGCAATCTGGGAACCAGCGAAAGTAGCTCGTGGGAACAGTTGCCGTGAAAATACTTGTAGAATAGACAGAGGGAAGCCACGGTACACACACACACACACACACACACACACACACACACACACACATATATATATATATATATATATATACATATATATATATATACATACATATATATAAGCAAGTGTAAATGGATATAAATCCGACAGAATGAAGAAATTTTGAAAAAACAAACAAAAATCCTTAAATGTAGTTAAATGAAAGAAATGTCGACGTCTGACGTTTCGGTTTATTAAACCTTTTTCAAGACAATATTCATCAAAATACAATTCAGTTCAATATGACAAATACGATGGACATAAAAACACAAGTCTTATTCAGAACAGATAACTGAAAATTTTTAAAATGATCAGCCTTCCGTCTAACATGGTCACGCTGTCGTCACATGGGCGACGCTTTCATAACGTATTCCTAAAAGTTTGTGATTATTTTGAAATGAAAAAAAAAAGAAAATGAAAAGAATTCTATTAGGTTCCAAAATTCTTATGTGTATGCTTGTCGAGCATCAATCTCGCTAAAAAGGGAAATATTAAAGAAACCAGGTCTAGTATTCACCGTGCGTGAGATGGATATTATACCTGCTTCATAAATCCTCCTGAGATTTTTATTATGAAAATATTTTAATACTTTCACGGAATCGAAATCGAATTATGATCTGCTTTAGTTGTGTGTACAACTAAAGCATTGTTAAAATTACCGAGACGAATATCTCGTTTATGTTCGAAAACACGAGATTTTAAGGACCTACCTGTTTCACCCACATATTTTAGGTCACAATTTTTGCATGATATTTGATAGATGCAAGCATCGGATGTAATATGTTGTCTGCTGGTGCTATTTAATAAACTACGGATAGTCCTAGTAGGTAATATAGTAGTTCTAATTTTTAATGCATTTAGATTATGAGAGATACGTTCGGTCAAATGGTTATTTGGTAAAAAGATGCGACCAAACGAAATATTATCAGAGGTAGCTGAAATTATATCTTTCATTGATCTAATTGTAGTGGCCTTTGAGGTGTCATTTTGCGCTGATGAGTGAATTTTCAACGCTTTATTTTTAGCTCTCTGTAATAATTGTCTCGGATACGAAAGATTTGAAAAGGTATCCTCAATATATGTAAATTCATCATTTAAATATTTTGATGAACAGATGCGAAGAGCCCTCAAATAGAATCCAATAACAATACCCCTCTTAGTGTTAGTATCATGGTGAGAGTAAAATGTAAATAGTCATTTTTACATGTAGGTTTACGATATACTTTGAATTCTAATTTATTTTTATTTTTAATGAGTAATATGTCTAAAAAAGGTAAGGAATTATTAGATTCAAGTTCATAGGTAAATTCAATAGTAGGTTCTATTCTATTTAATCTATCAGTAATCTCGTTTAAATCATGCTTATGTGGGTAGATAAATAAAATGTCATCGATGTATCGAAAGTAATGTGTATCAGGTGGAATGACATCTTTAAAAGGTCCAGATTCAAGAAATTCTAGAAATATGCATGCTAGGAATCCAGAGAGAGGACTCCCCATCGGTAAACCAAATTTTTGTTTATAATAAATATTATTATATTGGAAGAAACAATGTGAAGTGCAAAGGATGCATAATTTGATGCATTTCGAGATAGAGATAGGTAGCTTAAAGTCAATTTTCTTAAGGTGGTTCTCTAATTGTTTAATGCATTTATCAACAGGTATATTAGTATATAAAGATTTGATGTCTAAGCTAGCTAGTAATTTGTTATCTATATCAATATTTCTCAACTTATTTAAAAGAGAGCCTGAATTCTTTATATGTGCGTTACTTACGGTGCCCAGAATTTAACTACATTTAAGGATTTTTGTTTGTTTTTTCAAAATTTCTTCATATATATATATATATATATATATATAAAAGTTACTCCAAAATTCGCTTGAGGATGAAATGGGACTAATGTCTTTAATTTAATTACAAAATTAAATTCGGGGCTTTTAGTTTCCATTTTTGAAACATGGTTAGAACTATGTAGCGAAAAAAACATATTTTAAACAATTAATTTATAATATATATATATATATATATATATATATATATATATATATATATAAATAAATGAAATAATAATAAAAAAAAACGAAAGAATATTAATCTACAACCCAGTGTGTCTGAAGATTTGAATTATTTTATATTTTTTAGTGTTCAAATATATATATATATATATATATATATATATATAATTTTGCTTATTGCTTCATTCATTAGTTAACTTACACGTTCATTTCGTTTGGCAATAGCTTTCCTCTCCCGCCTATGCCCACAAATTCATGGTATGGCAGCAGCAGATACATGAAGTATATACAGAGAGTGAGTGAGAGAGAGAGAGAGAGATACTGAGAGAGAGAGAGTGACATAGAGAGAGAGATAGAGAGAGAGATAGAGATAGAGGGATAGAGAGAGATATGTATATATATTCTGAGAGAGACAGACATACAGGCAGGGGGTAGGGTGGTCTGCAAATGTAGGTATACTCTAAAGTTCACCTGAGTGTGGTCCGCAAAATTAGGTATACACTAAATTTCACCAGTTCTCAGACCTATGGACTTCTTCAATGGATTTGTATATTTTCCTTTTCTTTACTGCTTTCATATAATGAAAATAGCAAATTTATTGTGGAAGATTATAACGGACTTAAGTGAGTGAGGATAGTTTTCTAATGTGAAGTCCACAATTAATAGCCGAGAACATTCCTGTAGGTAAATATAACGCAGTCGAAAGTGGGAATATTCAGCGCCAAAATTTTTCAGTTGTCTTTCTGTCAACAGAAGTCACGTTGAAAATCAAAAAAATAAGGATTAAGAATTTGGTAAATATCTAGCGCTTATCAAAGAATTTAATAAAATGTGTAAATAGGATTGTCAAAGATAATATATCTATCATCAATAGGAAACATGTAATGGAACCAACGAATTTGGAAAATGCCATAACATTAACAATCTTAGGCATATTCGATTCTGTTCTGGATGAGTCCAATGAATAGGATTTTCAGTGGAAGTGAGATAATAACAGAGATATACAGAAAGAAAGAGAGCGATATATATATATATATATATATATATATATATATATATATATATATATATATATATATATATATATATCATTTCTATTTTTTTTTCTTTTTCTCCAGCGAATTAAAGAAAAGAAAACAGAGAAATATTCGTTCAATGAAGTCATACTTCCACATTCTGATTAATACACAGTGTTACTCATTTTGAAAACCCTTTCCCTAGTGGAATACTCTCGCTGATCATATTATTATTATTATTTCCTTTGATTTCTGGTGTGTACACATTTCTTTCCGGGTCCCGCCCAGAGATCTAAGGTTAGAAATGGCATCATGACACTTTCCACTGAACAAAAAAAAAAAAGAAAAAAGAAATTACATAGATAAAGCCCTTCGTAAAGTGTGGGCTGTACTTGTCAGAACAATTTTTTGTATCTCCTTGAGGCATGGACTTCCAGGAATCCCTTCAATTAGTCTACTTCAATCTTTTCCAACCAGTCCTAGGGCTCCAACTACAACAGGGATTGTTGATGTTCCCATATGCCACATTTTCGAGATTTCTATTTCAAGGTCTATTTTTATTATTATTATTATTATTATTATTGTTATCATTATTATTGTTATTATTATTATTCTTATTATTATTATTATTATTACCACATTTGTGGTTTTCGCACTCGCAACTATTTACAAGAATTTCTCTTTTTTTCTACACGACTTGAATATAGATTGGGTGTGTGCAGTTGGCTGCACTAAATGCTTCAATGCCTAAGGAAGTTGATTTTATCTAAGCTGTGAGTCGGAGCTCTGATGTCACCATCATCCTTCTGCTGAAACATTTAGGTCGGAATGGATGTTATAAGAACAATGATGAATGAGTGCAAGTATGCTGATAATTTGCGAAGAATTATTCATTTGAATATCAGACGGACATACCGGATAATAATGGTGTAGTGTTTAAATAACACCAGAATCAACCTCCTCAGCAAGAGTAGCATAACCGCTGAGCCGACATTATAGATAATCCTTCCTGAAAGATATCTGTAGAAAAAAAAAAAGAAACTGATCCATATTTAAAATTTTGTGGGCATTTAGATAAACATGCGCAAACCGTAAAAAAATATTAATAGGTATTTTTCTTTTTCTTTTTTATTCTGTTACAAAACCATCATTGCATTTATGGCACTGAACACACGCGCACGTACACAGAGAGAGAGAGAGAGAGAGAGAGAGAGAGAGAGAGAGAGAGAGAGAGACTCACAATGTCGTTACTTCTTTCTTTTCCTTAGAATTATTAAACCAAAACCCGGTATCTTTTGTTTCTTGGTTTCGATCGATTGTTTTGGTATTCATGGTTCACTGATTACAGCGGATGAATTCCTTGTAAGTTTTTGACGAAACAAAAGACAAAAAAAAATGGACGTGCAGTTTTAGACATAAAACCAGTTTTTCAATTCTTTTTTGTTCATTGTCAGATTCATTTAATTTATATTTTCTTGCAGTTTTGTTTTTCCTTTTACAAATACTTTTTTTTGTGTGGTGAGAAGATTGTTTAACCTGCCAAGGTATCGCATACTTTTATTGCTCGTGTTGGAGTAGCAGGCGGTTGAAGATGACATGTTACTTTCTTGTATCTCCCCTGAATAATAAAAAAAAACACACTCAACATTGTCGAATTCCTATATTCCATAAAATCTGAACTGCGAACGGCTAATATTTTAAATGCCTACTTGCAGAAAGGATAAAAAGCTTTATTTTCGTAAATCCCACTTTAAATCTAGAAAGATTTGGAACTGCAAAACATACGTTTTTGTTAATTTAGACAATTTTTTTAGATAGATGTTTGGATCAGTCACAATAAATGTAGTGTCGTAGATAAAAAAAAAAAAAGAAAAAAAAGTTGAATCTAGGGTACGTTGAGGGAAGAGTACTTTTGTCCATCTGAATATTTTATTTTAAATAATTTCACCCGAAGCATGGCGATAATGCTACTAAGACGCAAGTATATATACTGTGTGTTAAAATTAATTGATTTGTTTGTTTAATAGTGTAGAGATACATAAGGCGTTTATCTTCATCTCGTGACGATAAGTCACGTGGGTCACATGGCTGTCTGCTTAATGGCGTCACTCGATACAGTGGCGAAAGCGACTTCAGATTTCAGTTTGTTTATAGCAGCAACACCCTGAAATAGCTTTCTTTTCGCTTCTGGGCCATAAATACTATAATTATATATACTGGGCATGATAAATGCTAAAATTAGATTTTAACCTCATAGTAGCAGAGTTAGAACAGGAATAAGGTAAGGCCAAGTAGACGTTGTTCACGATTTTGGAAGAAGAAATTTTCACTTCATGATTAGAATGCTATCAGAACGAGCAATAATAATGCTTAACCAAGTATCACCTGTTTCATTAAAAGGAAACTTGCTGCATTCATTGACAGAGCAGCCAGTGCCGCCGTCGTTTGAAATTCATAAAATATATATATATTTAAGTCAATTCTTCACCAGGATAGGTTTGACAAATCCACTAGACGTTATCGATCTTTCCTCTCTAGACGGGCGTTTCCTTCCTAACCTTTTATTTGCTGTAGTGCGGAATGTCAACATCTTGATTATGGCATTGTTCTCTCTTCGAGTTACAAGTTTCGTTTTAGTCGTTACTTCAGTTGATAGTCTTCAAGTGATGGGGTTTCTGTTATTTGTCCTTTATGGTATTCTCGAGCCAGTGTCTGTGGTGTAAAGAAGGATGGTTCTTGCTAAAAACTAGAGGCTTCATTTGCGCGAAGCAAGGTAATAAAGCCCCTAAAACGCAAAGGGGGTGGTACAGAATTTTAGACAATACGAGAAAAAATCCGCTATTAATGAGAAAAGTTAATAGAAGAACAAGGATAAAGAAAACAGGCGATAACGATTTACATTGCATATAACTTTTGGAAAATTTAATTTGACAGGGAATCAAGAAGCCGCAAGAGATTTGCACAAATTGATATGTTGAAAGACAAATAGCATAGAATCTGAGACCAGAATATATATATATATATATATATATATATATATATATATTCTGGTATCAGATTCTATGCTAATATTCTTTCAGCATCTCACACACACACACATATATATATATGTGTGTGTGTGTGTGTGTGTGTGTATGTATGTTCAATTTTAATTTTGTGTAATTAAAATATCTCTTTTAGTCGCGCACCACCTTTCCCTCCTCATTTACTTTATTGAGTGTGTCTTCATTTATATTCCCAATCGCCAACGGATACCTTTGAAAATGTGTTGTCCGAAAGGTACCTTAAGTATGATGTCCGTTTTTCTTACGTATATATATATATATATATATATATATATATATAATATCCCGGACTGCTATATTAGATTAACAGGGGAAGGGAAAGCAAGAGAGAATAGGAAGGGGAGAAGAAAAGTGACGGATAGCCAGGTTCTTTTAAAAAGTGAGATAGTGTGGTTTGAAAAGAAAGGGAAGGAGGAAATAATGAATGGTTAGCCTAAAATGATTGAACCGGCCAAGAATTTTGCCCTTAAAGCGTGGAACTTTGTATATCGGCTTATACAGCAAATTGACCGATATGGCTAGTTATTTTAGGCAAGAGAAATCAATCTAATTCCAAAGTAGTTAGTCTAATAAAAGGGTTCTTAATACAATTAATGAATAAAAATTGCAGTAATGATAATAGTATCAAACATAAATGCAGGGATTTGAAATACAGATAAATATTAAATTTAAAATTACTTAACTAAAACTAAAACTAAAAACTGAGTAAGATAATGTATGGGTAATGATACAAAAGATGTTAATTTAGAATTATGAATATTGTATACATCGGTAAGACTGTTAGAGATTCAACTACATATAAAGAAACGCGCAAAAAACATTAAACCGTGTGATACGTAATATAAACACACATCCGCGCATACACATATACATACGCAAATACATACATACATACATACATACACATGAATGCATTTACACTCTTATGTGCTATTACCCATATTAACGAATCAACACTTCAAATGTGCATCCTCCGTCAAAAAAAGAACTTTTGCAGGGGATTTTTAATTTGTTATGTCTACACGTGAAAATCAGTTCATTCCGTTGATTTAAAAACTGGTTAACATTTCAGTATTTAGTTATTGCATTTTTTCTTGTATAGACAGATCGCGTCTGTCCCAGAAGTTGTTGGTGGTTTGAGACCGACAGATAATTTCCCATTTGATTAATGTGGTGACACCGCTATCTTTAATCTTCCAATAATGCTTGGATAGAGCAGTTTAGTGTCTGAAGAAAGCATTTGAAAAGGAATGTCGGTGACTGTATAGTCTTTGTTTCCAATTTCCAGCGCATATCCCGATATATGTTTAATTTTTTTTTTAATGTTTACTTTCGGATAAATGGTAGCTTGGTATACTATATGTTTCCGAATTACAAGTACCTCAGACGAAATAAATTATAACCGAAATGAATCATTAAGATCTTCTTCTTGATTATCATTATTATTATAATGCTCTGTAGTCTACATTGAGCCCTTCCTGGATTAATATCATCCTTGGAATTATCCCTACAAGTCACAAATTTGTAATATATATATATATATATATATATATATATATATATATACACACACAAATCAACCATTCGCCCTTGCATGAGTATTGCTGCCATATATGGTCTGGAGGCCCTACTGTTTGCCTCGGGGTTAATGATAAGATCTAGAGACGGATATGCAATGTAATTGGCGCCGATCTGGCATCTCGTCTGCAGTAGCTCTCTAAAAGACACGCCGTTGCCTCTCTGTCTTTTTTACAAATACTTTCATGGTAATTGCTCCGATGAGCTGCTTTCACTGGTTCCCAGACTTCGTTGAAACTGTTAAATGTAGCCGCCTCTTCTACTCCAATAACTTCATGTCTCGCACCTCTCGGCTGTGGAACTCCTTTCCCTATTCCTGTTTCCCTGATAGCTATAATCTCCAACTATTCAAATGTAATGTCAATCGACATCTCCAGTTGCCTTGATCTACCCACTATCCTTCTCCTCATCCTTTCCTCTATCATCCCTACCTGCTCTCGCTCCAAATCCTCTTGCGTGCTAGTGGCTTCCCGCATTTCTAGGAGGAAATGCTTATATATATATATATATATATATATATATATATATATATATATATATATATATATATATATATATAAAAAGAAAAATATTTATGTGATTCTCTCTGCGCTACAAATCTTAAAACTAACGTTAAGTCTTTATCTTCCTTATTCTGATAATTTCCACTTCCTTCAATTTCCGTTTCAATTCATATCAGAAATCTCATTTAGTAATGCTCTACCATGAGTTTCTCTCGAGCCTAATATTAGGTGAGTGGAAAAAATATGGTAGAACATTTGGCGAGATGTTAATTTCGATAAGCTAGAAGCGATTTATGGAAGAACGCACCTTAGAAAGAACCTTACTTAAAATATCTTAAGAATTTTGATAAAACTGTCATTTTTTTATTGGTAAATTGCCTTCATTTTTTTATATTTCATTTCCTGTACATATGTATATATCTGTCATTTAGCATGTTTTTATTTCTGTTTTAGGATTTCTTTTTGCACTTGCCAATATTGCATAGATTCTTAAGTTCCCTGTCTTTTTGAAAAGGCTATTTATGATAAATTTAATAAATCGTTCAGTGTTTATAGGAAATGCATCTCTCCTTGCTTTAACCAGACTAATTTTTTTTTTCGTGGTGTCTTCATAGTTCCGTGTTCTTTATTTTATTTTCTCTTTCTTGATTTTGGTTTTGGTATTCTCTTCCATACTTTCTTGAATTCTGCATTTTTCAGTTTATCGATTATGAAAAAAACAAACAAACAAAAACAGAAAGAACTTATCAATATTTCGCCCTCTTTTAATTTCATTTCAACCTCGCAATCCCGGCATCGATCATTCAATTTCTGAAATTGGCTGTGTTTGTATTTATTTAGCTTTACGATTTTATTTTATTTTCAAATTCTTTCCACTTTATACGACTTTCCGCATTTTTTCAAGTAACTTTTTATTTGAGGTTTTAATATTTTCAAAATAAGATATTTATTTCTCTCTCCATCACAATTTTTTGCGTTCAAGATTTATTCTAGCAAAATATTCATTTCCGATACAGCACAAGGTTGGAAAAGAGAGAGGAGATAAAGTAGTGTGGGACATATATATACATATATATATATATATATATATATACATATATATATATATATATATATA